CCCCAAACTTTTGAACAGTAGTGTATATTTAGATATCGTACAATAAATTCAAACAATAAAAATCAATTGACTATTTTCTGTATAATCTTAAACACTGATGCCCAAAATTGGTGTGAAAATCAGTTTGAATAGACTTTCACACTCTCCTAGGTACTAATTACCTTAATACATATGATATATTATGTAGATGACACTGTCCTGAAATCAACTGTTTTTGTGCAACAGGAGCAGAAAGGGCCATAACTCTCAAGATGGAGATCCCAGGCCCCATGCCTCCTCTCATCCGGGAGATGCTGGAAAACCCAGAGGCCTTCGAGGATCAGACCGAGTCCACAGAGAAGAAGCCTGAGCTCGAACAGCCCGCTCCTCCGCCAGCCCTGCTCACTATGAAGAAAGAGCAGGAGGACGAGGACGACAGCTGGGCCACGGAGAACGGCAGCGAGCCTTCACCAGAGGAGGAGGACGACGATGACGACGACGGAGAGGAAGAGAGGGGTACAGACAGCGACGGAGAGGCCTGGGGTGGCCAGGAACCCAATGTGGACGTGTCCAGAAAGAGCCATGGAGGAAGAGCTCAGTGAGGAAGCGTTCTTCTTCCAGCCTTACCTGTACAGACACTCCTAACTCAGGCCACTCGGTCAACGATGAGAGACATCAGTGAGTCGATTTGAGGAAACTCACGTAAAAAACCTCTTCTCAGGACCTCTCCCGCAGAACGAGAGGGAAGGCGAAAGACAAAACACCTGGCTTTTCAGACAAAATAACTGCCGCTTTTATAAAACTTGTTTGTTTGCTTTGAAAAGGAGAAGCCAAATGGGACTTATACCATTAACAGCTGACTCTCAACGGGTTCAAAAAAGTCTTTCAAAAGAAAATACAGGATGAAAACTGAAAATGCTAATCCTTTTTCTGTTGTCGTTGACGCTTTCGAATATCATTTTGACTTTTTCAGCCTTGAGATAGTTTGTTCTCTTTACATTTTATGAATAAGCCCATTCATATCTATATATACCTTTATATATTTTTTTGTCCTGTATTCTATTTTCTTAGTTATATTTTGTTTGAATAGCTTTCCTGGGCAGACTTACAGAAAGATAATCGGATTGCTATAACTGGCAGACCTCTGCTGAGTCTTTATCCAGCTGCTTGGTTGGGTTCTTGGGCACTTTGGCTCAGCGTTAGATGTCATTGATAATCAGTTCAGTGGCTGGGTATCTCCCGTCGAATTATCCTGTTTTTAGGGGAATGCCATTACGTATCGGCTTTCATTGCGTCACATGATTCGCTGCCAATTGAATGGTGTGTCTGTGCCAAAGTTTGCAGCTTGTAGGGTTCAACTCCTGTCAGGGAGCCCAGCTCCAAACAGAAACACCCACATGTCCATTACCTTCAAGTCTCTGCATCATGCATATAATGTCATACTGGACCGGTTTCATTCAGAGTGCTCAGGCAGAAGTTATGCAGCACTCGAGTGGAATTAACTTTGACCTCATTGGCCTAGATGGTTCTTCAGGATAACTACACAAATGCATCTGGACGAATTTTCTGAATCTCATGTATCACGATGAAATACAGGAACGCAGACCTGTGCTAACACACAAACACACACACACATTTTGAAACGCATGCTACATGTATTCAGAACTCTTGCTATAAAAAAGAAAAACATGAAATTCAGACTCAGGGCATCTCTGTGAGGACCAAACGTTTGCTGTCTGGCGGCAGCCTAGAAACGGGCAATATTTATGTGTTACGTTTCAGAAATCTCGCCATGTCACCATGAACTGAAATAAATCTGCGTATCTTACACAGAACTTCATTGCAGAACTTTCATCTTCGTTATAGAAATAGAGTTCTTTTTCTAATGTTACCTAATCCATTTTATTGCCAAAAACACACAGTATGCAATTTGGTGGTCGTGTGCCACTGAACATTAAAAGGTATCAGTCTCAGTCAAGCAATAAGACTATGACCAGAACTCAGCTGTGTGTGTGGATGTGCGTGTGTGTGTTTGTGTTTTGAAAGTGAGGATGGCTGCACTCAATAAGCTGTAGTGTAGTACTGTGTTTAATGAATGTCATCACTTTGGTGCTGTCAGAGAGTGTGTGAGCTGTCATACTGACCTCTTCTCCTTCAGAGTTGCGCCACAGCCACACGTATAGCAAGGGGAATGTTGAGATTACTTTAACTCTTCGTCATATTTTTCTTGTTCTCTAAACTTGGCTAATGTATTGTCAGTCCTTTGTTCGTGTTCAACAAATTCTGTTATATAAAAAGCCATATAAACAATAAGAGGCACAATAAAAAATTTTTTTGAGAATCTCTCTGTTATTCATTTATTTATTTATTTACTATTTAGAATTTAGAATATGCTTTAGGCATTTTATTTCGGAATCATCAAATTTAGGAATCATATATTTTTGTACTTTATTAGCCTACATGTAAAACAAGTATTAGTATTTATTAGTAATCGAGGTAACAAACATTTCAAGCGCACACTTGGAGTCAGTGTTGCCAAGTCCGCGGTTTTCCCGTGGAATTAGGCTACTTTAACACTGTTGCCTCGGGTTGTTTTTCATGTCAGCGGTTGAAGCGCCCCCAATAACGTGACATTTAGCCCCTGGAATGTGAATTTTACCGGAGGAACCCTGTCGAAAAACGTGTATTTTACCCCCGGAATGCGGTTTTTACTCAAAACTACTTTTTGTACCAGGCTGTAAACATATTTTTTTCTGCTGTAAAGTTGGGCATTTTAACATGGGGAGTCTATGGGACTGACTCCCTTTTGGCCAGTCGATGAATTGCAGTTTTAGTCACTTCCGTGTTGGTTTCACGAGAGAGACCGGAAGGTTGCCGCTTGGTTTTGAGTAGCAATTGGGCATGTTTTGCTGTGAAAACCTGGCAACCCTGCTTGGAGCGTAGTCATTATTACTCGTTATCGTTACTCACTAAATGCACTAGCTCCACCTTAACTTTCATTTATAAGTATATTATACGCAAAATTAGCTTTATGTAAGAAAAATGTGTGGTGAAATCAAGACAGATTTGCTATTTACTATTTGGCACAATGAAGTAAATCTGCTACGCCGGGTCCACGCGCCAAATTTCAACATGGAAGCAGGAAAAAGATTAGAAAGCGACAGCCGAGGATTTTGCCGTGAATAACGACTCAAATTTCGGTCTGTACTTCACGCAATAGTGTTACATAGCTGTAGAATACTTGAAATATATTGTAATAGTCGTATAGAGGCTATATTTATGATATTTTATTATGTTTTTTGTCCGTTTTGACGCTTAACAGGCCCTGGTCACACTGTTCTATTGAGAAACGAAAAGCAGTTAGGACTTTCTTCAAAAAAAAATCTTATTTTGTTCTCTACAGAAAATCATACTCGTCTTGAACGACACGAGGGTGAGTAAATGATGACACAATCTTAGCAGACAACATTCACAATATAAAACAACGGGTGTGAAACATCTAAATCCGCGTAGCATTCATCCAGCAGAGGGCGATAGTGCACCACAGATTAGCGCTAATGACCCTGCTGGCTGGAGAAGTGTAATTTATCAAACGCTAACCACACACAAACACTACTGAGACCAAAACTAATGGACCCTGCCAGTGTGCCCTCATTTGTCTGCATGTGTCATACAGTAATTATCTGAAGACAAAGAAACATCCCTGCATTACTCATACAGGAGCATTAAAGGCTCAGACATGAGACATGAGACGGATGGTTATTATGAAAATTTGGTTTCATTAAGAAGAAAGAATCTAATCCTTTAGATAATTACATATGTGATCATTTAAAAGTATTTAATATACTATTAAATACTAATGAATTGGTTAAATTAAACTGTCAATTTTGATATAACAAAAAAAAAAAATTAGCCTTTTTTTTTTATTTTTTTTTTTACCAGATCAAGAGATGTTTATTATTACTATTAAATATTAGGTTTCATATTACCAGGTAAATTCATTTCAGAATTGATTTTGGTTTATATTTTAAGTGTTTTTCTGAATGATACAGACACACCCTTTCAAGCATGTTTTCATATTCTCAATATACCCATAAAGGACAAGTTCATATGGATTTATTCCTGTCTTTCTGAATTCATGGGCAGACACTGTACTTGATGGATTTAGACTTGGCCACTTTATTTGTAAAGAGCACACAGGGGCTCACAATATACAATTCTATTTATTCATAGCTCAAGGGTATTGTAGTAAACCGGGTTATGGTACTCTTAATTAAAAGATTACTGTAATTAAGTTTCATTAAAAAGATCAATAAACTAGGGCTAAGATTAAAAACAAGGCCCATACATTATACACTGGTTTACAAGGAACCCATATATTCAATCCCAATGAGATGTTGCCATGGGAACACAAGGCAGATAGGCTGAGGTGATGGATTTAAAGAGACAGGACATGTTTTTCTTTCCATGGCAAACACACACCACTTCCTGTGGTGTTTAGAGCATAGTGCTGAGAGTAATGAGAGTTAAATGAAGGAGAAAAGAGCAATAATAAAAGGCGAGAGCAACGTCTGGGCAATGATTGTTCCAATTACAAAAACAACAAAAGAGGCACATGTGGAGAGATATTCATTAGTTTATTCTGATTAAAGCCATTTAAATGGCTATCAATGAAACATACAAAAAATAAAAAGAACTGGATTCTTTTGAGTGGATTGGTGCATGCCTTGGCAAAATATGATGTCATGCTGTTTTTTAAGATGAATTATGGTCAAATGTGGCCCCCTTTTGTCTCTCCTACACACTCCACCCTGGTGTTAAAAGATAATGTAGTCTAATAACTAATTGTCATATTTAACAGCTGCAATCTGAAATCTGTGAGTTTATTTCCTAGAATTATGACTTTAAAGCTCAACATTTTATGCTTGAAAACAAAGAATTACAGCTTTAGCATTTTTGTTGTTTTTGCAACTAACTGTATATTTTGCAAATGTGACTTTTCTAGTGGCTGATAAAAACTGAATTGATGTAGGCCTACAATATCAATATCATACTGTAGTATCTTAATTGTGAGATGTAATGTCCTAATAAGGAGAAAGTACTTGAAAATATAATATAAATTTTGTGAAATAAAGTCAAAATCACAGTTGTTACATGTGCTTTACATATTGTAACAGTGGAAATGACTTTTATAAAACAATCAAAGCTGCAATAATTTTCAGAAGGCCAAACTAGTGATGAAGAGGTGTCTGGGACAAATAATATTAAATTTGTCCTATTTTTGTACATTTAAAGGAATAGTTCACTCAAAAATAAAAAATTTGCCAAAAATGTACTCACTCTCAGGCCATCCAGGATGGAGAGGAGTTTGTCTTTTCATCAGAAACAGATTTGGAGAAATTTAACATTACGTCACTTGCTCACCAATAGATCCTTTGCAGTGAATGGGTGTCGTCAATATGAGAGCCCAAGCAGCTGATAAAACATTACAATAATCCACAAGTAATCCACACCACTCCAGTCCATCAATTAATGTCTTGTGAAGTGAACAATATGTGCTTTTATGAAACAAATGCATAATGAAGATGTATTTAACTTAAAACCGTTACTTCGGCTAAAATACAAGGCCTCTATCTATAATACTGCTTTCTTCAGTGAAAATCTCATCTTGTCTGAATCGGGAGAGAAATATGCACAGATCAAGCACCGTTTACAAGCAAAAACAGTTCTAAACAGTTCTTTTTTTACTGGACTGGAGGAAGCATTATTGTGAATTATGGACTCGTATTTTAGCCAAACGCAACAGATTAGGTGAACTATTCCTCTAATCACTGTTCTCCTGTCAATTTCATATTTGCAGTAGGCAGTAGTAATCCATCCTTGGTTGGAAGTGGTTGCGAGGACGTTGCTATGTAGTTTCTAAGGTAGAATTTTGGGCATATATATATATATATAAGCTCGATAACATAGAGCTTATATTAGAGCCCGTTTTGCAAAACTCTCGTTACATGATTTTACTGATTTGCACGTGAAATTGGGCTTTTATGGAGGAACGAAAGAGCACCGCTGGAAAGGGGGCGGAATGGGGCGCAATAATCGTTTTATCTCGATTACTGTATTTTCATAATCGTTGGAGCCCAAAATCGAAACTGAATTTCGATTAATTGCACAGCTGGCTTCTTTAATGGTTTTTTTTTTCTTCTCCTAGCAAAAGTTGTCAATCCACTGACTCACTAGAAATGTAATAGCACATCTATCTTCAACAAACTGCATGATTTGAGGTATCGTTCATATCAGTGGCACAATAATATTAATAATAATGCTCTAAAGTTTAAGAAATATTAAAAATTGCAGAATAAAAGTGAGGGGAAAAAAACATTCAGACAAAAAGTGAACTCAAAATAAGGTATTAGGATGTAAAAGAAAAGAATGACTCTAATATCTTGCCCAGCAAGTGGAGACCATACAGGCTGCACTGGTTTAATGCTGTTCAATCAACTCGTAATAAAATGCAAAATGACCCATAATATATTTTTCATTTCTAATGTTAGAGAAAAGACGCTGGCTGGAGGTGTTTGGAGAAGGAGAGAGACATAGGGGAGATTATACGTTACACATCCTTTGCAGGAAACCGGGGCAGTGCCTTCCTAAAAGACATGAAAATGCAGAAAAGGAAAGAGAGAGAGAGGTAGGTAGGTAGGTAGGTAGGGAGGGAGGGAAGGAGGGAGGGAGGGAGAGCAGGTAAAATGTTGTAATGCCAGGGTGCAGTGCTGTGGCCCCAGGCTCTTCATATCTTTTACATTTCTAATTAAAAGAGATAAAGAGTGAAGGAGTCATCAATCCTACAGTGATTTCCCTGTTAAGGTTTTAGAGGCAGCCGTAAAGCAGGCAGCCCGGCTCCATTGATTTTATAATTAGCTCCCGTCATGCTGCTAGGGGAGTGAGTGAGGAGAGGAGAAAAAAAACCATGGGAGAGCTAGAGAGGGAGTGGTATAGGAAAAGCAACAGAGGGAAAAGAATGGGGTGAAGGTCAGCAAAAAGTTGTTAAAAAGCAAGAGAGGATAACAGGAGGCCAATGGTCCAATTCTACCCAAGTATCTTTACAGGTAAATCAAAAGCCAGTGTAGTGCATCCATAATCTAATGTACCATTAGGACCTTGTGAAATGATATTCTTGTGACCAAAATTAACCTTGTGAAAATGGACCTAAATGATATGGATTTTTTACTTGTAATTGTTAAAATAATGTTTAGTTATTATGAACTTACAATGAACAACTGTTTGATATTAAAATGATATATTATACTAGTGTACAGTACTATACTATTTGCAAAACAACAAAACCACTGTCTCGTTTCGCTTCGACGGCTTTCAGCCTCACCCTGCTTCATTCTACTACGTTAATAATCATTAGCTCATCCATGAACAATGATTTCTGCCCGAGTCCCGTCGGATTGCATCGGCTGTGGGGATGAAGACGACAACTCCCATGATTCCACACTCAGTCACGGCGTCATCAAACTACGCCTTTGTCTCTTTGTTTATTTTGAATATGCGCCCTCTAGCGGCGAAAATTACATATTGTGTCTTTAAATTTAGGCATGGCAACACTATAATAAATGTAAAATTTATATCCATTTATAAATTTTTATATTCAAAGATTTGTATGCATGTAAAAAGTTATATTTAAAATATGCTGAAGATTAAGGGTATTTAAATTAATTTTTAAAGATTAAGTCTAGGTGAGTTTTGGATGATGGTTAAAGATGATCTAAATATAAATGAGCATGAACAAGTAAATATACAATAATGAACGTTACAAATGAATAAAAATATAATTTATAAAAGTTGTATAAATTAGACAATTCAAACATGAATTAAAGAGCTACTTAACCCAAAAATTTAATTTCTGTCACCATTTACTCACCCTCAAGTTGTTCCAAACTCGTATGAATTTCTTTCTTCTGCTGAACACAAAAGAAGATATTTTGAAGAGTGTGGGTAACCACAGTTGTTGGTCCCCATTGACTTACATTATATGTTTTTCCATACTATGGGACCAGCAACTGTTTGGAATGACTTGAGGGTGAGTAAATGACCATTTTTGGGTGAACTATCCTTTTAACAATAAACAATATGAATAAATAACATTAAGTAATAAATGATGAAAATTGTTAGTTCATGTTACCAATGCATTAACTAATGGAAACAAATTATCCTTATTTTAAGGTGTTATCCAATACGTAAGAAGAGCCAATGGACACATAACAAACATTACATTATTTTATTAATGAAACCCATCCCACACCCTGAACAGAACCGCATAACCTACAAACAAATTAGATAAGTGAAAGAAGGAATAAATGCACAAAAAATGCAAACAATAAATCCAAATCTCTGATTGTATTGCCCTGAAATGACCTGTGTTCTTTTAGACATTACTGAATCTCAATTACTTAGGACTCATCTTAAAATATTCCCTGCCATAAACAGGTTTCTGGCTGTAGTATAGTGGGTAACTGGAATCTTTTTTTGTTTTTTCCAAACTGGGCTTTCAGGTTCAGGTGAAGTGTATCTTTTAAAAATGAGAATTGTTTTCAATCTCTGATATCCTGATGCTAAGATGACGCTCTAGAATACAGCTTTAAAACTATCAAAGTAAAACCTGGTCAAGCATACAATACAAATACAGTAGACTGATGGATACAGAGTGACAGCAAAAGCCTGTTTCAGTGAGGTGTAATGGTTACATCACTTTTAAAGTCAATACAGATTATGACATGTTGTATAAAAGGCAAACAACATATAGGAGCTATTTAAACATGACCCTACAGTAAACAGCAAGAACAAATCAACCAAACAAGATAAAAGTTCTGCATTTACAGTCAGCCCAACAGGAAAATGTTTCAGACATTTAAAAGGAAAAAAAGAACTTGTACGTTTTAATGTATGATACCTTTTCATAATATTCCCCTTCATTATTTTACTTTTTAATATATGCATTAAAATATTCTCCCTGTGAATGGTATTTAAAATGTAATCATGGTGTTCTGAAATTATGACTTTTTCCTCTGGTAATGAGCTTAAACACAGCCAAATAATGTTCTCCACATGATCCACGTGACGCACCATTAAGCCATCACACATTAAATTGAATTAAAGATGAGATTCCTTGAATTTCGTGAGGCATAATTTAAAGCAGTTCAATTCATGCCTTAAAATTAAAAGTCCTTCTCGCAGTACTGCAAAAACTTTCTAATGTATCGCCAACCTCAAGAGGAACATTAAGTAGTTAAACTGTCTTAGTACATTTTGCATATAAATAAAAATTTTATCATTCATGTAAAACAGTGTTTCAATACAATGCATGAAACTACAATAAAGCACCAAATATAAATTTAGAGGAATTAAATTTAAAGAATTCAATTAAAGTGACTAATTAAACTTCATAATTCCCTCAGCTCAGCCTCCATGCTAAAGTGGATTTCCTCCAAAGAAGATTTTGCACATATGAATGTTCCATGAGGATGAGAGTAAACGACTTGAAAGGAATCTAAAGTGCCACTCTTTGCTCTTACATTTAAACAGGACGATCAGTCGCTGGCTGGTGTATCCCATTACACATAATCAATCAATCATTTAATGTGTGAACTTTCACACAATCTATCGTCAAACAAACAAAAAACGTTAAAAATACTTCTACCACAAGACCCACGAAATAAAGAGCACCCAAACTAAATCTTACATTTAAAACCTGAAAGGATCTTGATGGTATTGTGCTTTACATTATTGCTGATGTACATTAATGATAATTGTTATATCAGTACAAGTCTTATGACGGAACACAAGAAAATCAAGATTGAAAAACAACCCTAAAAAACACACACAGAAAAACTCCTCCTCCGCCTCAAATACAAGCTTTCTCTCAATCTTCTCATTACAGACACCTTCTGCTTGTCAGTTGATGTGTGTAAAATAACACATCCGTGAAAGTTACCTTAAAACCGTGTGCGACATAAAGTGTTCTAATAGCTTATGCATATTCTAAGTGCATAAAAAGTGTAAAGCAAATTGCATATTTAAATACTCATGTCAATATGATATAAAGCGCAAATGCTTCTAAATACAAAACTCATAACACGTGTTGCACTGGTGCAAAGCAGTCCATGCTGCGCTGGCCCCTCGGTTCCTGCAGTTTTGCTTCTCACCACAAGGGGCTCTCTGCCAGATCTCTGCATGACGACACACAACAGGACAAGCGTGAGTTTGGGAAGAAATGGTGCGTTTATAGACAGCAGAGGGTGAAAGAGATGGATAGAGAGAGGGAAACTGACGGAGGGGGTGGAGGAGTAGAGTTAGGAAGAGAAAGAAAGAGGGTGAAGGAGAGAAGTGAGGGAGAAAGGGTTTTAATGATGCTGAAAATTGGCCGGTGAGCGCCGTCTACCCTCTCAGTAAATCATTGCTACAGCTTCCTGTCAACTTATCTGTCCTCTTGTCCTCCCCGCACAGAACTCTCCCTATCCTTTCTCTCGCTCTCTTCTCCCTCACTAATTTTATGAGGTGGTATTCAAAACTTCCATCTCCTCACCATATTCAGACTGTCACCATAAATAAAGGCCTGCATTAGCGTGTGCAAAGACAGAAAAAGTGACAGACTGTGACAGGGAGATATACAGCGTAGCGTTCGTGAGAGAGAAGGGCCGAATGTTTTTTGCGACAGTGACATATTTAGTTGTGTGGGTTGTGTAAGAGTATATGTGAAAATCTATCTGAGCCCGTGTCTGCAGGTCACAGATAACGACAGTGTGACTGATGGGGTTTATAGACAGTGAATGTGTGTTTGTGCATGCCGTACCCGAGGGTAGTGTCTCTGTTGTCAGGCAGGAGAAGAGCCGTCTCCTCTCCAGAGCTGTGCCCTCTTGACAGAGCGGCCTCATACTCTTCCTCCTGTAAAGCACACACGCAATCACATATGCATGAATAAAGGGCCTATTCACTGCAAGTCTGAAGAACGAGCACAACCAGATTTTTTAAACTGCATAGTACTGCAAGTACTTCAGTTTGAAATATCATCTGATATCATTCAGATTTTTTTTTTTTTTTACCTGAACGCTACAGGTTTTTTTATTCAGTGCCAAAAAACCTTGCCAACAATTCAGAGAACATGCCATCTGGCTCAGTGCATCTCTGTGAACTACAACAAATTGAGCCTGAAATATTATTCTGCAATATTCTGATTTTTTATTTTCTTTGGATAATAGGTTTATTCTTATTCTCTGTTGATATTTTTTCAGTTTAATGTGCATGGTAAAATCATTACATTTGAATCCTAAACAAACTCGACTAGAAGGAATATTAGTGTAGCTTAAAAATACAATAAGACAAATCAAAATGAACGACTGGCAAGAGTTTGTACACTATTTAGAGAATCTTAGCTTATGAAAATTCATTGCATTTATTTATGTTTTATATCTGGGGTCTCTGATACCCCAAACACAGCAATTTTTAAGTAATATCTTTCATAAAGGATGTTGAAATTTTATTAATAATCACTTAACAGAAGGAAAGTTATGATTTATTAACCTCAATTCTCAAACAGAACATGAGCATTCAGCATTCAGATCCCCAAGAAAATCTAATTTTATTCAAATTTGATATTCAGAGAGTGATGTAACGCAAAAACTCCATTCAGATGAACACAAAAATTTGTTAATATTTCTAGTGCAAAAAAAATTGTTAGCAAAACTTTTATAGATTCTTGTGTGTCATTTAATCACATTAGATTGGATGTGAAGAGGCCTTGAAGGTGAGGGCACCTCATAGCATAAGAGGTAACATACAATTAAACATCTGCTGTAGCTCAAACAGCAGAGCATGACCCTAGCAACTGCAAGGTCATGGGTTCAATGCCCACTGAAAGCAAAACTCGATAAAATGGGTACCTTCAATGCAAGATACAGTAAGTCTCTTTGGAGTAATGCATCTGCCAAATGCATAAATGTAAATAACCAACTTATGTGCCAATATTTCCCTAAATATTTTCTACGCAGCCACAAATATCATTTATCACTTTTGGATATTTGGATGTGCTGTGATAACTTGATGACAACAAACCCTCACCGACTCAGAGCTGTGAGCGTGTGTGTGAGCACTGGGCTGATGTGGAGATGAGAGGGGTGCAGGTTGGCTGATGACCACTGTGTCCATGCCCGAGGGGTGCCTGGGTGAAGGTGGAGGGGTGGCCGGGAGCAGCAGGTCGGCCTGGGGCTGCTCGCACAGACTGTAGTGGTTCAGAGGCCCAGAAGAGTGTGCGTCCTGCAAAGCCTCGGGGTTCTCGTCCTCAGAATCAGACAGCAGTGGGCTTTCAGCATGACCTGAAACCACAAATGGCAGGTGTACTTTCACAGTGATACTAAATATATAATATCATTTATAACAAAGTAGGGTTATATTTCGATGTTGTGTAAGTATGGCAGAGTTGTGTGCATGCGGGAGGTGGGGTTGGTGTGCTATGTTGTATGGTGCTGAAGTCTCGTCATTGTGCAAGGCCATATAATGCAGTGGTGTGTGGCATTTATGATGTGGCTGTCTGCCGCCTGGAGTTCTGTGGTATTGTTGTGTGAGGGCAATAAAGAAAAGAGACAGACCCACAATAGTGTCGTTGTATAGTGATGTTTGTACAGAATTAAAGAAAGCACAGTGACTCACTGCTCTGCAGCAGCGCCGTCTCACTCCATTTAGAATCACTCAGCACCTCCAGCCTTCTCTCCAGCTGACGGCTGTACTCCATCACTTCCTGCACACACACACACAGTTAACAAACCTCACATTGTAAGATGAAATAATGTTACACTGTAATGTTTAAAATACCATACTGTCCCTCCTCATCCTCTTCTTAAATAATGGGTGTCTTAACAGGTCAGATTTCAGTAAATACTTGGTACTTTGCTGTTAGGGTTGCATGAAATAGGAAATTTAAGGGTTTGTAATGTTGTGATTGGCCGATGCAATGTGAACACAATACAGCATGACCAATGTTGTGAGGTTACTGAATAACTAAATATTTTCAAGAAGACATATCAGCGCTACTTTTCTTTTTACTGTCATCGGGACAAATACATTTGTGATTACCTCTAAAATCCTGTTTGTCCCAGACCATGCACTTCTGAGTGCACTCATCCTAACAAGTATACTCAGATTTGTATTTGCAAAGTTGTTTTTAGTTAGTTCATTGTTACATCCAATTGCAGTTTCCTTTTTTTCCTCTTGTTTTTCTGTTTTCTCAGTACAGCTATAGAGAAAATTATAATAATTATTTGGGAAACTGGACACCTTACAATTCATAAACGTGTATTTTTTGTACTTACCCTAAATCTTTGTAAAACTGTTTTAGGTTTAAAATCATAGCTTAAAGTAGCTTAAATATTCTAGGTAATTTTCGATCAATAATATAGGGTGTCCATACATCTTCTTTTTCCCGGATATGTCCTGGCCAGGATTTTGAAATTGCCTAAAATGTCCAGGTTTTGGCTTTGTTTTCATATTGACTTAAAAAAAATTGCTCTCTACAGTCCCACCTTCTTGCATGCCACGGTTGGTCAATGATGTACAATGCCTCCATGCTATTAGTCAAACTACTTTTCAGTCATTACCTTCAGAAAATATGAAAACAATTGGAAAGCAAAGCCATACATCTTCTTTTTCCCGGATATGTCCTGGCCAGGATTTTGAAATTGCCTAAAATGTCCAGGTTTTGGCTTTGTTTTCATATTGACTTAAAAAAAATTGCTCTCTACAGTCCCACCTTCTTGCATGCCACGGTTGGTCAATGATGTACAATGCCTCCATGCTATTAGTCAAACTACTTTTCAGTCATTACCTTCAGAAAATATGAAAACAATTGGAAACAATCCAAACCATTTTTGGCAATTCAGAAATCCCAGCCGAAAAATAGGACATATGGTCACCCTAAATAAAAAGAAAAACACATTTACAGTAATGCATTTACATTGGACGCCCATTAGGAAAACAGACAGAAGTGCAAATAAATATTAAAATTATACAAATTTATGTTGAAATATAAACATAAGGACATATGTTAGTAGGAGACTGTTGTGACAGAATCGCTTATCAACCATAAACCAGTTTTATTCAAATGTTAACCTTACATCATGAATATCTAAAAATGTAAACCTGGTTACTTTCACTTGGTACCCAAACAAGGATACCATAATTTTTAAAAGAGTTTTTGTATTTACCCGATTGCAGTCTTTCTCTCGTCCCAGCTCCACCACTGCTTTCTCTCTCTCCATCCTCGCCTCTTGCAACATCTCCTCCTTCTGCTGGATCTCATCATTTAGACGTTCCAGACGCACTTTGTCCAACTGTCAATTCATGCAATTACTTAAAAGAACAACAGTCTCAAAGCTGCCTTTGTGTTTTTCAAATTTTTTTTACTACACGTACCTCAGCATTCTGCTGCAGGGTCTCTTTCTCCTGTGCCCAGTTGGCCCTCCCCTCTCTCAGAGCCAGACTGGCATCTGCCAGCTGAAGTGTGAGCTGTGCGGCCTGCAGACGGGCCTGATGAAGCTCGGCATGTGCGGTGTCCCTCTGAGCAACCATGTCTCTCAGCTCCCCCCTCAGAGTCTCCACACAGCGTTCACTCACGTTCAGACGCTCTTGAACACTCCGGAGTTCACTCAAAGCCACTTCATTGGCTGCCTGCTCAACAACACAAACATGTCATGCTCAAAAGATGGTGACAGTCTACAGTCAGTTAGGGGGGCTGGCATACATGACTTCTAGCATCCATCTGCATCAATTTCTTTATTTGCTGGACTATATAGACATCGTTCACATTTGTCACTGACTGGCCATCAAATGGTGCAATTACAACATCTAACAGCAGGGGTTTGTCTGGACCATGCTAACCAGTCAAACCTTGACCCTCTTATAAATAACATGCACTTCATGGATAAATGGCGTCAAGTCTCTATTCTGAGACACTACATCCTGTGTACAACCTGTAAGACATCCAAGGTGAAAGCTAGGGTGTGAAAACTGCTGGAGTGTTACCTCCTTCCTGTGAGCGCTGTTGAGTTTGTGTTTGAGGGTGGTGATGGTGTCTCGGAGCTGTAGGGCATGTGTATCTCTCTGGGCCATTGAGCTTCTCAGACACTGGAACTCTGCTGACAGACTGTGCAGCTCGTTCTTTGTTTGTTCCATCTTTATCTAGTATAATACACAAAACAATGACACAGTTATGACCATGTACTTGTATTTATGCTTGCGTATAAGTGCATAGGTCAGGTGTTAGCTGACAAACCTTCAGGTTCTTGTGTTCATCCTCATCTTCCTTCTTTTGAGCTGCTGCTTTCTTGGCCCGTTCCCTCATCCTACACAGATACAACACCAGTGAACCAATGCAACCATGTGGCTCATAGAGACAATAAGACACTGTTTACTGTGCTAAACTGAGCTCTAGAAGGGGTCCAATCACTCCAGCAACATTTGGATGTACTGTAGTCAAGGATGCGTATGGCCACATTGTATGAAACCCTATCATGTCCTTATGTGCCCCACAGAACATAGTAGGACATGTACTGCAGCAAAAACTTTTCAGAATAGGTAGAGCTTAAAAAATGCTCAATTCAGCGCACAAGTCATCAACATGCAGTGATAATTATGTAGTATGTGTGTAGCCTTTAGACCTCTTGTTGAAGTATGTAGTCATGAAATTAAGAGAAAATCTTGAGGAAACTGGATGACAAGTGGTCACTGGAGACAAATTCGATACATGCTAATAGCAGCTGTAAGTACAAGTGTACAATACAACCAATGTAGTCTGAATCACAAACATATAACACTTATAAGCTCTTATGGGTTATTTTTAGTAAATCAAAACCAAATATAGTAATGCATTAAAATTAGTGCTGTCAAAGGATTAATCGCGATTAATCGCATCCAAAATAAAAGTTTTTGGTTACATAATATATGTGTGTGTACTAGCTTCAAATAAATTATCCACCCGCCACCCACCCACACCTATATTTTAGTCTGATTTAGGTAACCGCACCTAATCGTCACATTCAGGGTTCATACGGTCATGGAAAAACCTGGAAAAGTCATGGAATTTTAAAGCCGCAACTTCCAGGCCTGGAAAGTTTTGGAAAAATAAATAAGCCCAGAAAGTTTTGGAAAAGTCATGGAAATCTATTTCACAATTCTCTGTATAATAGAATTATGTTTAATCAGGTCCTGAATTTCGGTGCGGGATTGCGCATACATCGCATTACTCATTCCCGCAGCTTTCAACTTTAAAATTAGGGAAATTCCTGCAAAACATTTATTCAATATAGTGTGTAGGTTAGATGAGTAAATAAATCCACACAAACCATCAGATCATTTGAAAACAGCGTGAGTGATTCAGTTGTACCGCGTCCCCTCTCTTTGACTTTCTCTTCACATCTTCAGCATCTAGTGCTGCTGCACGCTGCGATACAAGACTTTCGCTCGCGTTTCGGTACAGTTGACAGAATTGTCACTTGCCTAATCGGTCATTGTTGCATTGTCACAAAAATTTATTATTTTCACACCTTTTTAAGCCATTCGGTACTCGCACGCTCCAGAGGTGCTTTTCTGTGCGCAAAAGCTAAGCTTGTTGCGCTTAAGCAGCCAAATACACACAAAATGGCGTCAAAATGGTCGTCCTGGTGAGTATCCAGGTATCCAGTATTTTTTTATTACCTGACCCACCCAACTATTTTGGATGCGATTAATCGCGATTAATCGTTTGACAGCACTAATTAAAATACATTTTTTTTACAAAAGCACCGAAATCTAAATTATAGTTTTCATTAAGGCAAAATCTGAAACCAGTGTTTTGTAGGGTTGGGTACCGAAACCCGGTACCAATATGGCACCGGTACCTATATAACTGCTATGTACTAGAACCGAATCAGAACGCAGATTTCGGTGCCTCATTTCGGTGCCATGCCTGAGTGATCGATTGAAATATTTCCTCCGGTTCTCCGAAACGGACATAAGAAGCATCATCACTGGCACCGCACGTGACAAATAATTTCCCGACTGAGAAAATGTATGTGAACTCAAGTCGGAAAACTCTAATAATACAAATCCAACAAATCTTTGTAGTAACGAGAGTGTCCATGTTGGTTTCACATTCTGACTTAAAAGCACAACTCGGGAAATGAGAGCATCCGAGGAGCGCGTCAATGCAGTAATTACACTTGCTCTGACGGCAGCAGGTAGCCTTCCGTTAACTAAGCTAAACCTGCTTAAATTAAAATGCCTAAAGCTAAACTTCCCTTGTATTCACATTTCTAAACCTGTTGTCCATCAAAAGAGAACCTTTTTACTCCACAACACCAGTCCGATTTAAAAGTATTGATTTGGCACCGGTATCGAAAAAAACCCAAACGATACCCAACCCTAATGTTTTGGTAATTAAACTCGGTATGCCATTCAGGTTGTCTTGTTTATCAGTGATGAACCAGTTGTAGTAAAGTTCTTTGGCAACAAGCCACTTCATATTTCAGCCAAACAAATGTTATGTTTTTCTACTCTAGCATCATTTTTGGTCACAGAAAAGTGCATCCACACAGCTGACATGTTTACCATTTGTATCTTATCCACAGTTTGTGCACGAAATAGACGCTGACACCAGAGTCATCAGAGAAGTGCTAACTGTTTCAGTCAATAATTTCAGCCCTTCAGAACTAATTTTGAAATTTCAGTGCATCACTAATCAACAACATAGAATGTGACTGCTATTATAGCTGCCATTGTAGCCTGATTTCCTAAATGAATGTCTCTTATGAGCTGATTCTAAATGGAAATCTAAATTTACAGCATCACCAGAGAGTAAAAATGTTCATTATAACTGAAATGCACCCAAATTAATTGGAATCAAATCAAACTGAGAAATCTAAATCAATACCCATCCCTACATTCAAGAACTAAGGCCCTGTTTACACTTGGTATTAAGATGCGTTTTGGTCGATCGGATCACAAGTGGATAACGGTAAATACAGGTATACACGGGGTGTGAAACGTTTTGAGCTCATCCACTTTCGATCACTTCCAGAGGTAGTCGAAAACGCCTTCAACCGGATTGCTTTCGTAGTGTAGACGCTGATGTGGTCGAATGCGTTCGAGCAGCCACAAAAGACCGCCTACTGACCTAATACACGTGTAATCATTGCGAGACGTACAAGGTCTCAGTATCAGATGGGATTTCAACTTTGATAGGCCGAATCAGAAGTATTATTTTCTGATAACACAAAAAGAAACAACAGCAGTAAGTACAACAGGGTTCCCACGGGTCCTTGAAATCCTTGAAAGTTTGTGAATCTGAAAAAAAATGTTCAAGGCTCTGGAAAGTTTTTGAAAATAAGCATACATAGATACAGGTCCTTGAAAGTGCTTGAATTTATTTTGTGCAAGAAGTTTTATGGAAAAAAATCCATATTATTCCCTCCGGTCCGCTAATGTGTTATTTCGCCAACACTTCGTGGCCTATGCATATTAGCTTGCTTGATTTACCTTAGGCCCCGTCCACATGGAGACGCGTTTAGCTGTATACGCATACATTTTGTATCGTATAGGCGTTTCGTCCACACGGATCCGGAGTTTTGGGAGAGTGAAACCGATATTTTTTTAAACCGGGTCCAAGAGTGGATAAATCTGAAAACGCCGCCCTTGCGTTTTCGTGTGAACAGCGAATCCGTATATTTTCTGAAACGATGACGTCATCAGCCCACGTCTCACCTCTAGTCAGACACCGCTACGTCACGTAACAGCAACAAAAACATGAACAAACACTGAACGATTGTCTTTTTTTTAACTGACATTAACACAGATTAATAAATGTATTGTTCCATGTTCGTTTGTATACCGCGCGCAAGGTTTATGCGCATAGTCCAAGTCTTCTTCTCCGTTTTTAGTGTATCTCTGTGGCAGAATTACAGCGCCACATACTGGTCTGGCATGTATACTACATCGTTTTGTGTCGGTTTTGTGGTTTCGTGTGGACGCAGATATTTCTGGAGACGAGGGGGAAAAAAAGATCGGATAGGGAAAGCTCTGGCTTCGTGTGGACGTAGCCTAAGTTACGCGCATTTACGGGTTATGTTGTGTTTCCCACGAGAGGTACTTTGTGTTGTACGTTGCCATGATGTTCACGCGCGCACGAAACTACAACGATGGTACCTCAACGTTTCACTCACACACACACACACCGTTAAACATAGCAAAAAATAGGTTTCAAGTTTCAAGATATTTGGCTCACCAAAGATGATTACAAAGAATGGCTTGCCTGAGATGAAAACTGTAACAATGTATCTTACAAGGTAACACAATGTAACCTTGCTCTCACTTGAAATGTGTCCCCACATTAACAGGGTGGCCGTGGGTTCTTAAAAAGTCTTAAATGTCTCAAATAAAGCCTAATAAAATAATAATACAGGGTTCCCACGGGTCCTTGAAATCCTTGAAAGTTTGTGAATCTGAAAACAAAATTTCAAGGCCCTGGAAAGTTTTTGAAAATAAGCATACATAGATACAGGTCCTTGAAAGTGCTTGAATTTATTTTGTACAAGAAGTTTTCTGGGAAAAAATCCATATTATTCCCTCCGGTCCGCTAATGTGTTATTTCGCCAACACTTCGTGGCCTATGCATATTAGCTTGCTTGATTTACTTTAGTTACGTGCATTTACGCGTTACGTTAAGTGTTTCCCACGTGAGGTACATTATGTTGTACGTTGCCATGACGTTCATGCGCGCACAAATCTACTACGATGGTACCTCAACATTTCTCACACACACACACCGTTAAACATTGCAAAAATAAGGTTAAAACCACTCAAACGTGATGCCTGGAAAATGCAAGTTTCTAGATATTTGGCTCACCAAAGATGATTACAAAGAATGGCTTGCCAGAGATGAAAACTGTAACAATGTATCTTACAAGGTAACACAATGTAACCTTGCTCTCACTTGAAATGTGTCCCCACATTAACAGGGTGGCCGTGGGTTCTTAAAAAGTCTTAAATGTCTCAAATAAAGTTTCCCTAATAAAAGGCCTTAAAAAGTCTTAAATTCAGATTCGATGGGTCTTAAATATTTTTGGTCCCATTTCCGCAAAAATTTCTCTAGTCTGACGGACCCAGTGACTGTTTAAAATCATTGGACAGACAGATCTCCCCCGCTGTAGTTACTGCTACAGTTAGCTGACCAGCCCTCCTAGCTAGTTTAAAATGGGTTAATGCAAGTTTACTTAAAAATGGCTCTAGAATTTTACTTGCCCGACCGGACAAATAGCCTGATTAAAACTTAAGTGGCAAAAAATAACCAGTGAAGCATCGAAACGCAAGAATGATTCTTCTGATTTTATTACATTCAACGTAAACAGCGATTGATAATGGACAGTGTATTTCTGGTATCAAGGTCGCGCTATTTAGGCTCATGCTGCCTGTTTCTTTGTAAGACTTTTATGGAGAAATCAAATCAAATGAGTGTATGAAATTAGCAAAAGAGCTGAACAGGACACAAAGAAACTCACAGAAGAAACTACTGAGGTAAAAATTCAAAATGTAAGTTTTTTTATTTATAACATGATGTAGTTAAGCAACATATTATGACAAGGGAGCTAATTGCCGAATATTCTCATGATTGCAAATGTTACTTTGATTTTAGTTCAATAAACAAGAAGTTGAGTAGTCGCGTAATTAGGTTACTTACATTTTAGACACGGTATTGACTGTTTTGTTCTGTTTCACCAACTAAAATAGTTCCAAACAAAGATCACAGCAGAAGTATAGCACAATCTCCAAGCAACATGCAGCGGTGTTTTGTTACTGAATGATTCAGCAAACGGTTGAATGAATGAGTCACTAGACTCACTCATTAAGTGACTTACCGCCACCTACTGGCAGGGTTAGTATGTTTAAACCCCCCCCCAACATTTCCATTTTGTATATTCAAAATTGCATAAAAATGGCCTTTATAAAAATAAAAAAAATTCTGAAGTTTAAATAAAAAAATATGCAGATAAATGTAAAAGCCGACAGAACACAGATAAAATATTGCTTCGGAATAAATTGTTTACACCACCAGAAATCTTGGTCATGCTGTGCTTTTGTGGGGATATTTCGTATGGTATATTGTCTGCTGATATGACAAGTTTGCTGTATATCGTAATAATAAATAGCATGTTTGACAGCAATATATATATATATATATATATTTTTTTTTTTTTACATTTAACAAATTAAATATTACATTATACGTATGTAAAATAATGTGTGATTTCTATCAGAGGTTTGATCTTAAAT